CCCGCCCACCCTGCTGGCTCTCGGCGCGGGCCAGCTCCTGCATTATGACCGGATCCATGGCGCCGGCGTCCGAGGCGCCCGCTGCCCGACGTCCGCTGGCTTTCTCTCCGCGGCCCAGGGGTTGCCTAGCGACAGAAGCGCGCGGGGACCTACGGGTCGGCGGCGGGGCCAGACTTGTCCGGAGGCGAACCGCTCCGGCGCCCACCCGGTGAGTGCGCCTCCAGCCCCTCGGAGAGGACGTGAGGGCGAGGCGCCCGTCTGACCGGGGTCGCGTCCTCGCAGGCTGGTCCGCAGGCTCTGCCCCGCCTCCCGCCCCTGCCCACCCCCGTAGCGGGGCTGCCCAGTGCAGCTGCCGCGGGTTCCGATCTGGGTCCCTGCCGGTCCAGGATGCCCAGGGTTCGGGCCCTGACCCTCTGCTGAAACCCCCTCGCAGTCTCCCAGAAAGCGGTCCTGCGTTCCTTAGCTCATTCATTCATGTATCCTGCAAATAGTTAATTGCCCCCTGCCACTGGCCGGGGCTGAGCTGGGCCTGAAAAGGCAGCCGGGTGGACGGCCGCCCCCGTGGGGAGCGGACATCACACCCGCACAGAGTAACTGAGCGCCCGGGGCGCCGCCAGGGCAAGCGCGGGAGCCAGGCCACTTGTAGAGTGGTGTGGTCCCGAGGCGGGTGTAGGGGAGAGTGCCCCAAGCTCAGGGCAGTTGAGCTGAGGTCTGAAAGAGGGGCCAGGTGCTGGACAGAGAAGGAAGGGGAGAGGATGTCCAAGGAGTAGCGCTTGCCAAGGCCTGGGGAGGGGCGCGGGGTGGGGGGCACAGCAGTGCGGATGGGGGGTGGGGTCAGGAGAGCGCGACTGACAGGGCCGGTTCTTCCTACTGCTTGAAGCGGTGTGCGTGGGTCTGAGCATGTTCCGTGGGCGCCAGGTGAAGACTGGGTGATGGACGTGGCGCCAGGGAGGGCCAGGGGACCCTTGACTTCGGGACTCCACACCTGGGGGTGGATGGGGGCACGGGCCAGCCTGGGGAGCTCCGGGTGGTGTGGGGCTCAGGAGGACGTCGGGCCTTCTGTCTGGGACATGTGGATCGGGTGCTCAGAGCCGACATTTGTGGGAGGTGTCTGAGCTGGGAGGAGAGGTCCGGGGCTGGAGGCTCAGGCCTGTGGGCAGGTGTGCAGAGGTGATGGCGTGTGGGTGAGATTGCAGAGGGGGAGCATGGCGGGGCGGGGAGTGCTGGAGGCAGCCCTTGAGACCCCTGGGCCGTGGGCAGGAAGAGGTGCAGGGGAGACTGGAGAGGTGGACAGGAGGCCTGTGCAGGGCTGGGTCCCCAAGCCAAGGCAATGAGGAGAGAGGGATCAGCCAGGTCAAATGTGGCCCAGACAGTGGTGAGGTGAGCCCTGGGAAGTCACTGTCGGGGGGAGGAGGCCGGTGACTCAGGAATAGCTACATCTCTAATTGGAGGGCGAGGGGGTGGGTGTTGGAGGGGGTGGAAGGGTGAGTGAGGGAGAGGAGGCAGAGGGAAAGACTTGGATACATAATTCTTTAAGAAGTCTGGCTCTTAATGGGGAGGAAAGAGACTGGGGGGAGATGATGTAGGGCCTTTGGTGTCTGGGGAGGTGTCTTATTAAAGGTAAAAGACAATTAAGCACTTTTCAAGTTGATGGGCTTTTATTCGTAAACAAAGTGATCATGGATGTAAACAATCCTGCGGTATCTACAAAACTACTGCAACTGCTGCTAAGCGAACGTGGCCAGGAGCAGGATACAGCGCTATCCGTGGATGTCAATTGTATCAGTGTATGCTGACAACCAACAGAGAAGGGCAGAAACGTACCATTTAAAATAGCATCAAAACCAACTACCTTGGGATAAATTTAACAAAAGATGTGTTATTACTGTTCCACTGAAAACGACAACATCTTGCAGTGCGAGACTCCAGGGCACGCCGTGAACGGAGAGGATCGCGGAGCTCGTGACTGGAGCTTATCTGTGACGGGTCCTTCTCCCCAGGCTGATCTTTCTACTCAATGAAACCTCAGTCAGAATCCCAGGAGTGCTTTTCTGGAAACGGAAAAGCTGATTCTACAATTTATATGGAAACACAAGGGCCTGGAACGGCCGAGGTAGCCTTGAGGAAGAGGAACAAAGTCGGGGACTCAGACTCTCCTGGATTTCAAGACCTGCTCTGAAGCCGCGGCGCGGGCTGCCCCGGTGGCGCAGCGGTTGGGAGTCCGCCTGCCGATTCCGGGGACGCGGGTTCGGGCCCCGGTCCGGGAAGACCCCACGTGCCGCGGAGCGGCTGGGCCCGTGAGCCGTGGCCGCCGGGCCTGCGCGTCCGGAGCCTGTGCTCCGCAACGGGAGAGGCCACAGCAGTGAGAGGTCCGCGTACCGCAAAAAAAAAATAAATAAATAAAAAAACAAAGCCACGGTGTTTCAGACAGTGTGGTGTTGGTGAAAGACAGATGAATAGACCAATAGAACAGAATAAATAGTTCTGAACCAGACCCACGTGGATTCAGTCCATTGCTTTTGCCACATGTGCCACTTCAAGGGGGAAAGGAAAGTCTTCGCAACAAGTGACGCCAGAACAAGTGGGCAGTGAATTGCCTGGAACCTGCATCACACCATGGACAGAACTAATTTGAGATGGGCCGTAGGTAGACTTTAAAAGTAAAATCTAGGTGCGCACAGCTTCTGGAGTAAAACAAGATGCTTCAGCACCCTGGAGCAGACAACAGTTTCTTAGGTAGGGAATAAAAAATGGCATCAAAGGAAGAGAAAGAAAGCTGGCCTCATCCAAAGTGAAGCCTGTGCTCTTCGAAAGGCACTGTTAAGAAGATGAAAAGGCAAACCACAGGTTGGTTGAAAAGAATCACAGTGAACATCTAACAAAGGACATGTATCCAGGTTATAGAAAGAAAGCCAATAATAGATCAATAATAAAAAGACAACACAAATTTTAAAAGACGGGCATAAACTTGAATAGACTCTCAAAAATACAAGCTATTTGAATATCCAATAAGCATGTGAAAAGGTGCTCAACGTTGTTGGTAATCAGGGAAATACAAATTACAAATTTTCAAAAAGAGATGTCACCATAGACCCACTAGAACGGTTACAATGGAAACAGCCGACAAAGGTGGATGTTGGGATTCTTCTGCACTGCTTGTGGGGATATGAAATGTGCTATCACTGGAAAACGATGTTTTTAATAAAGTTGAACATTCCCCTACTCTCTGACCCAGAAATCCTTCTCCCAGGCATTTACCCAGAAGAATGACCACATGTATGCACAGAGATGTGTACGAGAAATTTACACAGCAGCTTTATTCTGAATGGCCCCAGGGTGGAGACAACCGCAGATGCCCAATGGTAGACAGTTGTGGCACAGCCACGGTGGACCACAACTCAGCAACAAGAGTGAACCAGCCACGCGACCCCAAGGTGGATGAATCGGGGCAAAAGCACCAGGCGTGAAAACCATCTGCACACTCCCTTTTCCACGAAATTCTAGGACAGGCAAAGGGACACTAAGGTGACAGAAATCGGGTGGGGGCCTGACTGGGGAGGGGTGGCATACAAGGTCCACGTCTTGACTGGGCAGTTGGGCACCTGGTCGTATGCATTTTTCAAAATGCAGCGAAGCGACATTTAAAGCAGGAGCATCTTCTTTTACTGTGATGACAGCCAAGCCGGAATGAACCATGAGCTGGGCCCACTCAGAGCCGGGCTCCGCGGGCTGGGCGGGTGGACCAGAACCAGGGGTCAGCCGGCGGGCGCTTTGCCTGGGAAGCTGAGGGAGGCCAGGTGGTCTGGGGAGGACTGGGTGTGGAGGAGGGTGAGCGAGTGGGTGACAAGAGGCTCCTGTGGGCCCTGTGTTGTGGGGCCGTGAACCCCGAGTGGCACCCCCATCCCCAAGAGGCTCCCGCAGGGCACAGCTGCTCAAGTCCAGGGTGAGAGAAGTTCCCCTGGGGGCCTTGTAGGTGGGAGGCTGAAGGAGCAGGGGAGGTGGGTGCGGGCATCGGGCGGAGGTGACCGGGGGGGAAGGCTGGCGGGCAGGGTGGGGTGGGTCTTGGTGCCCTGGGCAGGGCTGGGCTCTGGTGACGTGGCTGGAAGAGCCCAGAAGGCCAGCCTGGAAAGGGGAACGTGTCGTGGACGATTTGACAGTCGGCAGCAGAGGGGCAGTAGAGCAGATCTCCCTCACCTGGCCTCACAGGCTTCAGGGAGATCTTGTCGTGCTCTGTCTTCTCCCCTTCTTCCTCAGGAATAGATCCCAGCTTTTAGCAGGTGCAAGACGTCCCCAGTTCCTGCCTTCCTTATGACCAGTATGGCCAAGTAACCCAGCTCTGGTCACTGCAATGCAGCCTTAGGGGAGTGTAGTGCTCAAAGGGAGAGCAGCCCCTTCTTTGGTCCTTTTGTCTGCTGGTGGGACAGTGGCTATGAAGACTGGAGCTTGAGCATCCATTTTGTGCCATGAAGAGGAAACCTCCATGCTGGGGTGAAGGAGCCCGGGTCCCCTTCCGTGGGCAGCTGCTCAGTCCTGAGAAGCCTCACGTGAGAAAGAAGTAAACTTCTCTCTTGTTGAATTCACAGCTGCTTTGTGTTTCCTGAGACACCTGCAACCGACATCCTCACCAGGGCTTTAGCTGTGCCCGTTGGTGAAGGTTAGGACGCAAATGCAGACCACAGGGCAGTAGGAGGGAGGGGAGACGTCCTACACATTTTCTGACAAGTGTCTAAGTTTTCTTAGATGAAGTTTAGAGCCCGGTGCATGATGAAATATGGATACACGTGTACACACACGACAGAAGAAGCTCTCCCTGGACATCGCTTTGAAACCTGAACACCCTTTCTTCCCCAGTGTCCGGAGCCGCGCACCACCTTGGAGGGAGAAGCCTCCAGTCCCTGTCAAATTAGCCAGCGATTAGTCCTCACAGAGGGCTCTCAAATGTGTCTTTGTTTATTCATAAAGACATCCGGCACCATATGCATAGCAGTTATAAAATATTTAGTCCCACCGAGGAAGTGTCTCACAGACATTGCGTAGTAAGAGACTTCCAGAGTCCTAGAGCATTAAATATTAAA